CTTCTTCTTCTTCTTCTTCTTCTTCTTCTTCTTCTTCTTCTTCTTCTTCTTCTTCTTCTTCTTCTTCTTCTTCTTCTTCTTCTTCCTATTCTTCTTCTTCTCCTCCTCCTCCTTCTTCCTGCCTCCCTCCCTCCTGCCTGCCTCCCTCCCTCCCCTTCCTCCTCTTCCTTCTGCTTCTCCTCCTTCTCCTTCCTCCTCCGTCCCTCCCTCCCTCCTCCTCTTCTTCCTCCTCCTCCTCTTCCTCTCTCTTTTCCTTCTCTTCCTCCTCTTCCTCTTTTCTCATCCTAGGGTTTGAACTCAGGGCCTGGGCACTGTCCCTGAGCTTCTTTTGCTCAAGATTAGTGCTCTACTGCTTGAGCCACAGCCCCACTTCTGGCTTTTTTTTGTTTATGTGGTACTGAGGAATTGAACCCAGGGCTTCATGCATACTAGGCAAGCACTCCACCACTAAGCCATATTCCCAGGCCTCAGGCTTTTCTTAGAGTAAAAGAAAAAAAAAGTAATAAATTAAAAAATTAAAAGCAGCACTTATAAGAGTGCCTGCACTGCACCAGAAAAGACATGTCTTTCATGCATTTATTGGTATTGCAATACCTCTTGTTTTATATATGAGAAAGGTACGGAACAGAGAGCTATGATCCGCACCCAGGTCCATTTGATTCCAGAGTCTCAGGGCGTTTCCTCCGGGGTACGTTGCATTTAGAGGGAAAATCAGGTCTAGTTGAGCCATTGGAGTCCTCTGGAACACCAGAGTCCAACTCTGCTGTGCTCATGAGTTAATCCTGCCTGTCCAGGGCTCAAGTATTGCCTGTCCAGGATGACAAGGCCCCGGTGAGCCCCAGGCTGGCTTTCACCTCAGCCTGCTTCCCTCAGAACTGAGCTTTTCCACTTTGAGTGCATTAGAGATCTAAATCCCTTGAGGCCCTGTCTGTTTTATTTTCATTCTAGCTATCTAGGTGACTTGTCCTAGCTCCAGTTTCCAACTTCAGATAGACTCAAATCCTTTTCATCATCCGAACAGTCTGGCTGTGTCTCTGAAGGTCTCTGAGACTCCGGATGTTGCCGGGGAGACCCAGAGAGTGGCTCATTTGTTTGGAGGTAAATAATGAGTCATTAGCAGTATTTACATATCTGGGCATCAGTAGAAGAGCAATCCGATAATGAGTGGAGCACAGCAGGTTCCCAGGGAGGGTGAGCTGATCCTCCACACCTAGAAGAAAACACCAGCCTCAGCTGGAGGGGATCCAATCCCACTGTGGCTACAGATCTTCAGAAGGGAGGGGCTGGCCCTGTCTCCCTGTCTTTAGCTGAACCGGAGGCCATCTTGAACTATGCTCTGCTCTCTTCTTGCCCTTCTCCTCCTCAGTGCTTCCTTAGGTGGGTGCTCTCCCATCTGGCAGAAGCCTTTCTTCACATATTCACCCTCATCCTAACCCCGTGGAGCTTGCAAACTTGCCGGCAAGGGTCTGCCATAGAACAGGGCCTTTTGACTCAGTCACAGAAGTGCTGAGCTTTGGTTAGCCCCAGAGGAAGATTCTGAACTCTTGGTCTCCCAGCAATTCATTTGTATCCTTGACTCTCCTAATGGACTCTCTGTGATAGATGGGCCATGCTCTGTCTGGGTGGAAGGCAGCTGGGTTGGGACGCTTGCTGTCTAAACATTGCTTTATACTTCTCACAGGTACCCAAGCTCAGACGATCCAGCAATGGCCGGCTGCCAGGGTGCAGACTGTGGGCAGCTCCCTTACGCTGGAGTGCAAGGTGACAGGAACATCAAATCCTAACCTATACTGGTACCGGCAGGCCACAGGAGGGGCCCTCCAGCAGCTCTTCTACTCTATCAGTGCTGACCAGGTAGACGCTGCAGCCTCCCACGGTCTCACAGCCTCCAGATCCAAGGATGGGCAGTTCTTCCTGAGTTCTGAAAAGCTGCTCCTCAGTGACTCTGGCTTCTATCTCTGTGCCTGGAGTCTCACACTGCGCTGGGTGGGGCAGACATCTGTGCAAAAACTCCACCCACTCCTCAGCCCTCACCAGCGGCCCTCCCCAGGAGCCCTTACCCAGAGACGGGTGGAAGATGTTGGTGACAAGGTCCCTGGCTTTTAGCCAAGGCGAGACCCAGAAATCTGTGTGAGTCAAGCCAGGCATCTCCCAAGAACTTGACAAAGTTCTTTGTAAAATCATCTATGCAAGCAGTGAATTATTTAGCAGAACCCGTGAATCACCTAGATCAGGTCTTCAATACATTTGTGTCTGGTCCTTGACTTACACCAGGCCTTGAAGCATAGTATATTGTTGGTCAACATTGTATGTGTGTATGTAGCTCAGAGAAGTACAGTACAGCTACAGTCAGACATGAGGTCAAGTGGGCTGGTGCATAGACTAGAAAATGCAAACTAAAGCTACTTAATGGGTTAATTTAGTCACCTGGTGACTAAAATTACTCCTGGGTCATCAACCTTTCTGCTGACACTAGACATTTTGTGGAGGTGTGGACCTGAGCCTTTGAGCCAGGGAGGGACAGTAGAGTTTTATGCAGATTAGAAGTTAATGTAAGAAGCATGCATTTGAGATTGCTGTTTGGGACATTTGAGCTTTGAAAAAATTCCAGTTCCTCTGTCTGGCTTCTCTTGTAGCAAAAGAGAGAGCAGAATGACAGATGGTGGGTGATCAAAGACATACACTAGACTGAGGAAAAAGAAGAGGGCTGTGTGTGCGACAGAAGAACCCTGAAAGGAGAAATGACTTGGATGGAAATGAAGAGGAAAAAGGGCAATGTGAATAGTTGGAAAGGATGCCTTGGTTACCTTGGCAACCGGCTTCCTGCATTCCTCATTCTTCTCTAGTCCTTTTTCTTTTTTTTTTTCTAGTCCTTTTTCTTAAAGATTTTCTTCTGTAATGCCCTTTATCTTCCACAAGGGGGCACAAGAAGTTTGAAAATAACTAAAATCGCATCCCATAATCTAGGATTATTCAGAAATTAAATGGTATTTTCAATATCGTTTAGGCTGTGGGGAAAAATCTGAGGGTGAGACACCACATCATCCAGAGTGTAATACACTCTGGAAGTGTAATAATGGCGAAGAGTTCAGCTACACTTGAGGGATCAAGTGCTATTTTGTGCTCAGTGAGCCAGCATGGAGATTCAAAAGCACAATGAGGTATACTCATCTGTGTTGGACAAGTTTAATCCTTACTTTTTTAAGTGTAAATTTACTAGATTCTGTGAAGTTGAGCTGTTTATTTAAAGCCTCTAGATTTCATTTCTTTAACCTATAAAACTTGCCTGAGTAGATTGTTACCTATTTTAAATGAGATGGAGTGTGTGAGTCTCATTACAAATTTTCAACAGATAGGATCTTCTTAAGATTACAGGATTTGATTGCAGCTTGCCACAAATAAATACATTTAAACACTGAAGTTAGAAACTGTGCAGTAATTATTTTCTTACAATATTGAATCTACTTGGTTGGGAAACGCATGGAAGTTGTAACCTGCCTTGTGCTTACTCTGATACTGGCCATCCGTCTTTCCTATTGGTGCTTTATGAAATCTCACCATCTTTCTTAACAGAGAAATGTCCTTTGACAGTCATAACTAGCCTAGTGGCAGATGGAAGAGAGTTCATACAGATATTTCATTCCTTTAAGATATTCAGCAAAGTGCTGGCAAACATCATGGTGGAGACAATACTTTTCACTAGATTTAGCAAAATTCTTTAACTAGCTCTAGATAACACTTCCAACTAGATTTTGCAGTATCTGATTCCAAGCAAGAGAGTTGGTTTGAGTAGAAATGAGGAAACATCTATAAATGTAAACTCAGCCCTGTAATACAAGCTTGGTGTGATATCCCACTCCAACCACTGGGGGCTCTCAGCCCCTCTAATTTTCCATTCTCTCTTGAATTGTATTCTTTCACATCATTCTTACCCAGACTGGGCAGAAGATATCAAACAAACAGACTTTACAGGTTTTAGCCACATGTGGAAAAAACAGTAAAATGTAGTCTCTGCAGCATGCAACCCACAGCTGAGACATTTAGAAACTGACCGGGTTGCAGCCTGCCAATTATCCAGGCTCCCTTTCCTGCAATTCATTTGCACCTCTCATTATAAGCATAGTAGGACAGTGTGTGTTTTAGGGGGCTGTAGTGGGAGGTGGGTGGGAGTTTGGGGGAGGGTCGGTGGGAGGAAGAAATGCCCGAGTGATGTGGGTCTGAAGGAACCCCAATTGGGTCATAACAGTTACTTCAGCTGTTTGACATTCTCCACTATCTATATAATGCACCTGCTGCAGCCCCAGGCGTGCATGACCTCTAGCAGGTGTGAAAGCTACGTTAGGTGGTGGATCCTCCTCTAGAGATCCTCTCCTTTGCCCTCTGAAGTTCCTCACTGCCCGAGTGCTGGATGGAGGCCCAGGTAGAAAGAGAAGAACAGGAAGGGCTTGGGGGAGGGGGCAGGATGTGGCAAGTGTGGTTCCACTGCTGCTCAGGAGGTGGGTGGGGGGAGGGACTTTCACAAGCACCCCAGATGTGAGAGCTGGGAAATGTCAAGCCACATCCTGTTGTGACTGCCTAGGATGGAGCTAGGGCAGGTTGGCTGTTGTTACTTGGTGCTGATGTTACTCAGAGATAACCAGCCTGGCAGTCAGCACTGGCTGCAACATCCTCATTTCTGCCTTAGTCATCTGTGTTAATCCTCAAGGGCCCTGACCTGCATCTCTTCACTTCCTGGTCTTTGATCCAAGGCCATTCTCCTTAACACTATTCACTCACCTCTCTCATTCATGGCCATAGACCTCTTCCCTGGAGGAGGTCCAGGGAGCTAGTGTCAGAATTCCTTGTGTGTCTGTTAACTGTAGGGCCTTGCCACAGCACCCATTACACCATCAGACGCCCTCTGAGATGGTCACCGAGGAGTGTGATTCCAGGGTGGGAGAGCCTAGATTCCATACTTGCCATCCTCTTCCCTGAATCTGAGGAGCAGGGCTTGAAGACTCCTCATGGGTTATCTCCCCCTCTCTCTTCATGTCACCAAAGAGAATAGGAAAGCCCAGAGAATAAAAATAAATTGTCCAGGGTCATGTAGCTGGGGACAGTGGAAGACTAGAAGTGAATTCTCTGTGTTTTAGCAGCTCCTAAACTTCAGACAAAGCTTGGGTAACATGAACTCCTTCATGAGCTGTGGCATTCCTATAACTTTATGAACAGTTGTCTAAGAATCAATAAGGTAAAATGATCATGCCTGTAAAGGTGTGAGGATGAATGGATAAATATAATCAATAATAATAATAATAATCCTGCAGAAACTGGGTACATTGGTGAGGTGAAGTTGAAGAAATATGACAGAATCGCAATACTCTGTGTTCGATCCCAGCACGGAAAGAGAACTCACTCTATGCCCACAGGAAGGGGAATATGTGGCTTATAAGTAGCCTGTGTAAGAAAGATCTAGAACTTTGAGTCAAAAGTAAGCTCTGAGTCAATGAGGGGGATATGGTTACAAAAAGTTGAACAATTACCCAAGAGCCCACACATAAGATCTTGAGAATAGAAAGGAGAAGCTCAGTCTTTATCCTATGTAGGTCAGAACCCACCTGGTGCAGAAGTCTTTCTGAATATCACCCCTCTAGGAAGATAGAAGGATAAAAACAAATTGAGTGTGCTCAGAAGAGAGAGGCTAGGTTGTAAAGGGTAGAAAGTACTTAAAACTATGTCTTATGAGAACAAAAAGTAAGAAACGTGGAAACATTTAACCTGGAACCACCTTTAACCTGTATTTGCTGTGTTTATGATAACAGCTAATTCACTGACACTCTGCTAAGTTGTACATATGGAGGAGATGGAATAAGTGGATGTGGCAGAGCCTTTTAGGGAAATAAAGCTGAGTCTTATTTACCCAGGGTCTCTCCATGTCTTTCTGGCTTTAAATTCCATATTTTTTTTTTGCAATTGAGTTCTTTTTTGGCCTGTATTTTGTTTACTCTCTGGGATCATGTTTTAAAAAGTGATTATTCTGTCTTTCATAGACTTGTAGATTCTTGCCTAAACATGAGAACCCTATATTTGGAAGGGTCAGAGAGCAGTGAGATTCATGGATCAATAGGGTGAAATTTTTCATAGTGACTAATGTCCTACTTAGGCTGGTGGAGTGTTCCCTGGGGATGGAGTTGGGATTCAAGACTGCTACGGTGCTTCTTTACTACACAGAAAGCTGGTGATTCTGATACAAATCTCACTTGATGTGACGGGGAAGAGGTCTGAGTTATAACTGTTGGATGGCCTAGAACTTGGGCTTAGAGCCACTATTTAAACCTGTACTGTTTATATCAGCAATGAGTCTTCTCAGGACATGGTAGGGAATGAGGCCCATAAGTAGCCCAGGGCCACAGTTTCCCTCAAGACACTCATATTCACATATACAGCTAAGATCAGTTACAAAGCAAATTGATAAACTTTGTAAAAATCACAATGGTTGATCCCATTTGAATTCCGATTTTGTTTTGTTGAACTACAGATGGTACTTGCTCATCTCTGGACCTCATCTCTCCTAGCAGCCTTTTTAGGAGTCCAAACACAGAAAAGACAAAAATGTATGGATGGAAATGGGCCTTGGAGAAGCCTGTAGCACAGCCTTTTCTCTGTTGGAAGGAGCTGTTTCAGAGAAGAATCGAGATTATGACAATAAATCTTTTTTTTTTTTTTTGGTCCGGTCGTGGGGCCTGAACTCTGGGCCTGGGCGCTGTCCCTCAGCTCTTCAGCTCAAGGCTAGCGCTCTACCACTTGAGCCACAGCGCCACTTCCGGCTTTTTTCTTTTTGCTTATGTGGTGCTGAGGAATTGAACCCAGGGCCTCATGCATGCAAGGCAAGCACTCTACCACTGATCCACCTTCCCAGCCCTATGACAATAAATCTTAAGGAGAGGCAGAGTTATAGTGTGGTAAGGAACCCAAGGACTTCAGATCCACAAATACACACAGTAAAAGGAAGAAAATCTTTCAGATTGGGGAGGGGAGCAGCCAATCCAAGACTAAGGGAATACTTAGTGTTTGGGGCCCAATAAGGTAGCCAAAGTTATGGATTATGGGATTTCAGGAGACCTAGGTCACCTTCTTAGAAACTACAGGAGTCTACCATAAGCAATGGGAATGAACTATCAGTTTGTTGGCCAGGCTTTGTGGTAATATACAGCAGAGTGTCCTTATGTGCCATTGGAAATTATTTTCTATAGATGTAGTGGGAAGCATCCTGGCAATTCAAGTTTAAGAGGCTGGTTAGGTGAGCAGAAATCAGCTTCCACCATGGACCATTAGTTCATTTCTTATTGGATTGTTTTTTGACGGTTTAATTTTTTAAGTTCTCTGTATATTCTGGATATTACGCCATTGTCTGATATGTACTTTGTTCTATTTTGAATTGATGCTGGTACAAATTGATCGATAAGGGTTCAATTTCTGTTTTCTGCACATGGAGATCCAGTTTTGCCAGCACCATTTGTTGAAGAGGCTATCTTTATTCCATCCTATATGTTTAGTTCCCTTATTATTAGATGGCTAGAGGTCTATGAGTTTACTTCTGGGTCTTCTATTCTGTTGTATTGGTCTGTAGGCCTGTTTTTGTGCCAGAACCAAGCTGTTTTCATTATTATAGCACTGTAGTTGAGTTTAAAGTTTGGTATTGTTATACCTCCAGCACTACTGTTTGCTAAGAATCACGTTTGTGATTCCCAGCCTTTTATGGTTCTATATTAATTTTTCGGATTGTTTTCTCTATCTTATTGAAAAAATGATTTTGATATTTTAATGGGTTTTTCATTGAATTTGTAGATTTGGGAAGCATTGTCATTTTCATATTAATTCTGCCAATCTAGTCACATGAAGGACTTTCCACTTCCTATGTCTTCTTTGATTTCCTTCTTTAAGTTTTTATAGTTTTCACTGTAGAGGTCCTCATTTGTTAAGTTGATTCCTAGGGTTTTTTGTTTGTTTGTTTGTTTTTAACAACAAAATCCCCTATGTTTCCATTTCTAAGAGGGTTTTTTGGGGGGGGGACTATTGCAAATGGAGTTGCTTTCCCAATTTCAGTCTCTATCTTCTCATTGTTTGTGTACAGGAAAGCTACTGATTTTTGTGGGTTGGTTTTAAATCCTGCTATTTTACCAAAGCTTTGCATCAGTTCGAGTAGCCTGGGAGGGAAGTGTGTAGAGTCTTTTAAATTTAGGATCATATCATCTGCAAACAGGGATAGTTTTACTTCTTCCTTCCCTATTTGATTCCTCCTTATGAGTCTTCTTAGAATAAGAAGTAAAAATGGCCAGTAGACTCATGAAGAAACTCTCAACATCTCTGGCCATAAAGGAAATACAAGTCAAAACAACATTTGAGATTCCACCTCTCCCCAGTTAGAATGGCCATTATCAAGAA